GAGAGAGAGAGAGAGAGAGAGAGAGAGAGAGAGAGAGAGAGAGAGAGGAGGACAAGCAGTTTCAGAAGTAAAACAGCAGCTCCCAGCTCCAGCCAGGTAGAGAACCTATCATAGAGAAGCTGGAACTAGGACCCCTGTGTGGGGCAGGAGCTGGATGGCTTGGGAGAGGCCGTCAGCGCGAAGTTGGGGAGGAGATTTTCTCTTTCCAGGGTCAGGTTTGGGGTCAGAGCTGCAGACCACGGACCCACCTGTCTCAGCAAAGCTGATGATCTCATACTCTTGTGTGCGGTCATGCTCGAGCGGGGTTTCCTGTCGAGGCGCACGGAGGCGCCACAGTGCGGTCTTCAGAGCAGCTCTGGACACAGGCCGACTCAGTGTGGGGCGCTGGCGGAGGTGTAGCTTGTTCAGGATACTTTTCTTGGCCAAATCGAGAAGCAGCTCCCGCTGGCTCTCCAGGTTGAAGGCGGCCCCCCAACATGCTGGACATGGACCACCAGTTTTGAGATTGGCCACGGTGGCTGGAGTCAGTAACAAAAATAGTAAGAACAAGAAGGAAGCCATTGCTGGAGAAGGTCCTCCCTGAAGGACACCAGTCCAGTTCTCAGGGTCTCGACAGTAGTGGCCTCCACTCTGTTCTGGCCGCCACGGACCCTGGGAGGAGTGTACCTCTGGTTGGCACGACTCCTTTTTGCCCAAGTTAGAGCAGCTGAACATCTGCCCTGAAAAATGACGCCAGTACAGGTGGAAGTTGGCAGGAAGTCCCAGTGTCGCCAGTGACAGTACGGAGCGGGGGATGTGAGGAGAGCTGGACTGTTTGGAGAGAGATGTGTCTGTCTCTTGCTATTATTGGGAGGCCTGGGGACAAAGGTTGGAAATGGAATTCTTCCTCTGCAGAGCCTTTCTGTGAAGCCTGGGGGAAAGGCTGCAAGCAGAGGTTCTCAGATAAATTTACTGCAGGGGCTGAGGCAGGGAGATCACTGGAACTCAGGCCTTCCTTAACGTCTCAAAACAAACAATAAATAAGTAAGTGAATGGCGACGTTATGTCTGTGCGCATGATGGGTGTTTGGGTCAGGTTCTCGCGTAGCTCAGGCTTGCTTTGGACTTGCTATGTAGTGTGGGTTGGTTTTGAATTGCTTCCTCTCCTCAAATCTGGTCTCATAGGCGTGTCCAGGTAAAAGGGTGATTCTTTCTTCTTCTTCTTCTTCTTCTTCTTCTTCTTCTTCTTCTTCTTCTTCTTCTTCT